GGAATGGAATGGAATGGAATAGAATAGAATAGAATAGAATAGAATAGAATAGAATAGAATAGAATAGAATAGAATAATTGGAAGGGACCTTGGAGGTCTTCTAGTCCAACCCCCTGCTCAGACAGGACACCCTACACCATTTTCAGACAAATGGTTGTCTCTTCTTAATATCTCTTCTTAAAAACCTCCAGTGTTGGAGCATTCACAACTTCTGGAGGCAAGTTGTTCCAATGATTAATTGTTCTAAGTGTCAAGAAATTTCTTCTTAGTTCTAGGTTGCTTCTCTCCTTAATTAGTTTCCATCCAATGCTTCTTGTCCTGCCCACATGTGCTTTGGAGAATAGCTTGGTAGTAGTTATAGTACTTAAAATGGAGATACTAAGAGGTCAGAAAGTCTTGAGTTGTCAAAATCACAGAGGGCAATGGAAGTCGATGTTTATTGGCCATTGGTGATAATTACGGAACATGAATGGAATGTATTGTTATGTCTGCGAAACTAAGAGAATGAAAGAATGTACTAAACCTGAAAGAATAGAATAACAGAGTTGGAAGGGACCTTGTAGGTCATCTAGTCCAACGATGCCAGGAAATGGATCTGAAAATTAATGCATCAAAGACGAAGGTATTTGCTACCAGCACCAAAATGTTTCTGTTTGAAAAGGAAAATGGAATACACAATTTCAAACAAACAGTGAAAAGTTGGAGCAAATAGATGGATGTGTGTGCCTTTATAGAATGTTTATAATGCTGGAAAAAGAAATATTTAGATGTTCAGAGGCTGGTAGAAAGGGTATAGCTGGTATGTGGTCAGCTGCATAAATATTTGTTCCATTATAGAAAAGTGGCTGGTTGGAGAAGTTATAAAGAAGGGACAACTGGAAATACAGTAAAAAGCAATCAGAACAGGATGCTTCAAAAGTGTGCTGTGGAATGATAAAAGCAATTGTTATGAATGAATATGGAAGCAGGTAGAGGCAGTTTGTTTAAGAGGGAGGAAGAAGGAAGATGGAATTGCAAAACAAATATATGAAAGAAGGATGAAGAGAGAGGAAGATGAAGTCATGGTTATATGGCGTTGATGAGATCCTGATAAACACAGAGTTTATCAGGATCTGATTTATCAGGATTTAAAGAACAAAAAACAATATATGCTTTCATTATGCAAGACAAAATGATGATTTGCAATGATAGCATAGTACAGAAAGGCACAGAGAATGTCATTTCTATAATTCTAGTTCATTATTTTATCCTGGTTTTGCAGTGGTTAAGTGAAGTACTGCATACAAACTCTGCCCACAGCTTGAAGTTCAATCTTGATGGGGTTCAAGGTTGACTCAGCCTTCCATTCTCCCAAGGTTGATAAAATGAAGACCCAGATTGTTGGGATCAATATGCTGATATTTCTAAACTGCTTAGAGAGTGCTATAAAGCACTGTGGAGCAGTATATAAATCTAAGTGCTGTTGCTCTTTTCTCCTTCCTTAAATTTGTTTAAAAACCTCCTCCTTCCTCCTTCTCCTCCTCCTCCTCCTTCTCCTTCTCCTTCTCCTCCTTTCTATATACTTTTAAGAAGACCAAGTAGAAATAGTGTAGATGGTACACATGTTGGAGACAAGTTATATTCTTTGTAATTATAAAATATCTTTTCTGGACATCTTTGCCACTTTTTGAAGGGCCTACTAATATTTCCTATGAGATTACAAATTCTCACTTAAAAAGAGGGACAGCTTCCACTATCCTCAATGGGTTTGGATGCAACATCCAGAGCCATCTCCAAAGTATATGTTAACCAGGAAATGGACTAAGCTTCATTCCTGGGATCAACTCTCAGGACAAATGCAAATAGGAATACAAATATATTATTTTTGTGCACTATTTCTTGACAGTCTCTCATTAATCTTCCTGAATTTGTACAAAATGCTGCTTAATATTCCAGTAAAGCTTAAAGTTTCGTGGACCACATGTGAAAACATTTATTTTCGAAGGTTGGGTCAGCAGAAAGGACTATTTTAACAGCCAACCAAGAATCCTTCTTTGTGCTAATAGAAACCTGGCAGAGCCAAAGCAAGGCAGCTGCATTTATGACACAGTTCATTACTAAAGGAATAATTTCAATCTAGACCAGAACAGCCAGATAGCTCTCTAATCATGCAATGTCTATCAGCCAAGCATTGTAATATTATATTCCACCATATAGATTAAATTCAATGCAACAAGTATTGGATATGTTTTATCTGGGAAATCATTGTTTTGTTCTTTCTGTCTTTTCATTTACTTTTTTGAAAATGACTTTTGATTCATTATGTTTAAATATCACACAAGCATATAAGATACATCTGTTTCTTATACACAATCCTATTAAGGTAGGAAGGAACTTGATTCCAACTCTTAAATGGAATCCCTTGACTATACTGTGAACATTCCTGGAAATCTGAATTCCATTTGGGGGGCAATTCATTACATCATGTTACACTCTGCTCTCAAGGAGTATAACACTTCTGTTCCAATTGGATTTAGTTTATTTTAGGCTGGACAAGGATTAAAAGGAAATTGAGAAATCCTTTATACAAATTCTTGTCCACATTCTACCCAATGTACTGTACGAGGACAATTTGGAAATAAACCTCCGTTTGGTTATCAATGACAGACACTCGCAGATACAGAACTTTTATTATACACATTAGAAAATGACAACATTATATTACTCTTCAACATAATCGCCGTTCAAATTGAGGCACTTGTCATAATGTCTTACAAGTTTTGAAATTCCTTAGTAGAAGTCGCTTGGTGCCAAATCTGGGCTATGGGAGGTGAACAAAAACATCCCAACGGAAGTGCTTCAAAAGTTCTTGGGTGCGTCTAGCGGTGTGTGGGTGAGCATTATCGTGAACCACCACTACACCAGAAGTGGTGCCATAGAAAATCCCGCCAAGTGTGAAGATGCCAAAGGAGTACGGCTGGTGAAGTTCATAGAGCGTGGTTCGACCATCAGTTCAGATGTCTACTGTGAAATGTTACGAAAACTCAGATGAGCCATCCATAACAAGCGTCAGGGCCTGCTGATGTCTGTAGTGTTCACGATAATGCTTGTCTACACACCGCTACATGCACTCAAGAACTTTTGAAGCAATTCCATTGGGATATTTTTGATATTTTAGCTCAGATTTGGTGCCGAGAGACTACTACTAAGGAAATTTAAACCTTGTAAGATGTTATGACAAGTGCCTCAATTTGAATGGCAATTATGTCAAAAAGTAATGTAATGTTGTAGTTTTCTAATGTGTTATAATAAAAGTTCTGTATCTGCAAGTGTCTGTCATTGATAACCAAATGGAGGTTTATTTCCGAATTGCCCTTGTATATCTGTATGAAACAAAGTACCTATTTTCAGCTATGCTGAATAATGACTCAAATCAGAAGTTTATGAAATAAGAGAACTGATATTAAAATTAAACAGTAAAGGTACTCCAAGTATAAATTTTCTCATACCTTTATTAGCCAAAAAAATATTTGGCTAGATGTCTTAATACATAGATGCCTTTATGTGGGGATCCTAACACAATGTGTACATTTCTATAAAGCGGAAAAATTTCCTGTAGGATATTGGGTTGAACTTCTGAAATTTGCAATACACAACAGCTTGAATCATTTGGCAATTTATTTTTCTAGCAGATGTTGTAATATTTATGCCTGGTTTATATAACAGCTGGTCCTGAAGTTACCTGTTTCCATCTGCCAAATTGTTTTCATTCTCAAACCAATCTGTTAACTTTTCATTTCATTCAGACATTTGTCTGGCATAGATTTGTTACACATATTTATTCAACTATGAGTCTCTCAACAGTCAATGAATTAGTCGTTATACAATGATTTCATAATTACACCATCTTAAAATACATGCTTAATAGCTTCTGCAACACAAAAACATAAGGGAAGTTTTGAAATGTTATCAAAATGCGTGGGTAGTAGCCAGTTCAGTCCTTTTACTCATAATATTCCCTTTTTCAACACTGAAAGCTCGTTGTACCTGCTTTATCTGCTTTCAAGAATTAGAGGAACAAATGTGCAAAAAAGCAAAACCAGCTGTTTCGTTAAAAGGTTGATATGCTTTTATGCCCTGATAATATCCTGCATCGTATCAGAACTTCTTTAGCTTGATATAACTCTGAGCCCCCCTATGGGCATTCTACATACCTTTGGATTTTATGCTGTGTCTTGCACTCGACTCAGAAGCACCGAGGTGATTCCAGATTGAAAGGATTAGCCAGTGACTTAACCGTTACCTCGGGGAGGCCCCACTGGAATCTCCTTTCATGTCCCCAGCAGAAGCTGGAGCGAAGGATGAGAACCCCATCCCATGATAGCTCTCAGGTCTCAAACATGGGCTTGCTAACCTCCTGCCCAGCATCTCAATCACCCACCATGCATCTGTGCTGTGATGAGGGCATATTAGGACTTCCTTATCCCTGGATATCTATGAGCAAGCTTCACAGCCTCTGTGCATCATCTATAACTTTAGATTTCATGCTTTGATGCATATCAGGACTTGATTACCACTGGATATCTGTGAGCAAGCTTCTATCATGGTTCCGACTAATGAAACACTTCAAAGAACTTCCAGGCATGTTTATCCCAAAGCCTTTATTACCAGTGTTACAAATTGATGGCACATCATGGAGGTTTATGCCAGAATCTGAATTCCTCTTGCTGGCATCTCACTTTTCTTGCTAAACTCCTCCCTTATCTTGCAGTCACAAGTCACATATTCCAATTAGCCCAGAGGGCAGAGATTCACTTCCCTTCCTTTTCCCGGGCTTTTGGTATTTCCCCTCTCTTTTCTCTGTCATCTGAATTAACTCTAAAAATACCAGACAGTTCTGCATATTTTGTCAAAGCAAGAATATTCAATATTAGCAGCGTTGACAGCTTCACAGCTTCTGAGCATTCTACCTATCTTTATATTTCATGCTGTGACGATAAGGCATATCAGCGCTTCCTTACCATGGTGTAACTGTGAGCCACCTTCATAAGTTCTGTGCATCCTTGAGCATCTGCAAAGGCCCGGATTCCCAAACAGTTGGATGGATGTAAAAGCTTCATGAGGAAATGACAACACACTTCAACTACTTGAGGGAGTTGAAGAAGACACGCAGCTGCCAGGAGGTTTTCAATTGTATCTTCCTTAAGTTCCAAACAGCCTAGACAAAAGATTAAGAAACACAGTCAGTTTGCTACCCATACATTTGTACGTATCTTGGAGCTAGGTATTAAGCTCACAAAATACGTAAAGAAATTCTCAGCCATTATGACAGCAGAGGAAACTCAATTTTACGTGTGGTGGTAGTTAGAATGCAAGGCTACTTCTGCTGACTGCTGACCACCAGCAGTTTGACAGTTCGATCTTGACCGGCTCAAGGTTGACTCAGCCTTCCATCCTTTCGAGGTCGGTAAAATGAGGACCCAGATTGTTGGGGCAGCAATATGCTGACTCTTTAACTGCTTAGAGAAAGCTGTGAAAGCAATGTGAAGTGGTATATAAGTCTAAGTGCTATTGCTATTGCAGGCTAACTCTGCTCACAGCCAGGAGTTCGATCCTGACTGGCTCGAAGTTGACTCAGCCCTTCCATCCTTTTGAGATCAGTAAAAAGAGGGCCCAGTTTGTTGGGGACATTATGCTGACTCTGTAAACTTTATTTATTTATTTATGAGACTTATATACCGCTTTACGTGCAAGCACTCTCTAAGCGGTGTACACCAGTAAACAATGTGTACTCTAAGCGGTGTACACCAGTAAACAATGTGTATATGTATATATATATATATATATATATATATATATATATATATATATATATACACACACACACCAGTAAACAATGTGTATATGTGTGTGTATATATATATATATATATATATATATATATATATATATATATACACATTGCCCCAACAATCTAGGTCCTCATTTTACCTACCCCGGAAGGATGGAAGGCTGAGTCAACCTTGAGCCGGTGAGATTTGAACCGCTAACCTGCTGAACACAGTCAGCTAAAGTGGCCTGCAGTACTGCACTCTAACTGCTGCGCCACCTTGGTTCTTCTTAGAGAGGGCTGTAAAGCACTGCGAAGCGGTATATAAGTCTAAGTGCTTTGCTATTTTGATTTGAAAAAAAAAATAACATCGCTTTTGCTTTCTCTGTATGCTTCACTGGGTTCTCCTTTCTCAAGTATCAATAGCTAATCAGGAAAATCTGGCATACAATATTACCCCATGGCATTTGCATTGCACTATTAAACAAATTAAATATTTGAAGTTTGGAAAGATATGTTCCTCTGAGATCTGCACTGCAATATTTTCTTTCCCTCATGGGGTGAAATTAAGAGAAAACTGGGACCATCTGTACCTGTGTTTTAATGTTTACTTTTTAGAAGTTTTAATTAATGGATTGAAAAGCATATAGTTCATAAATCATTTTGCAATTTTCAACTTTACAATCTAGCTGAAAGATGCCAATAAATCAGATTAGGGTTTTGCTCTTTGTTTACATTCAATGCATTTAGCTTCATTAGTTGGGATGATAAAAATTGATAGGGAAATATAACTACAGACAAAGTGGAAAAAAAAAACTGTACACAAATTTGTTAATGTGCATCCTCAGCAGGATGCTAATCGGTTTCAGACAAACAACTTAGCAGAGCAAAATATGAGTGTATATTCTAGCTCTTTGTAAAAGATGAAATGGCCAATTTAATTTTTAAACTTGCATCCATCCCTTTTCAAAATAACAGTCATCACATAACCATATGCTGAAATGCAAAATGTTTAATGTGTGTAAGCCGTGCAGAGTCACCTGTAGATGAAATGGATGGCGTCTCACCTGATTTGTTTGAAGACAAGCAAAAATAAAATAACCGTTCCTAGTCCAAAAGGAGAAATTTCCTGACAGAGAGAACAACGAATGGCTTGCCTTCAGAGGTTGTGAGTGCTTCATCACTGAAGGCATTTAAGAAGAGACTGGATAATCACTTGTCTGAAATGGTATAGGGCAGAGGTAGGCAACCTTGGCTCTTTTATGGCTAGTGGACTTCAACTCCCAGAATTCCTGAGCCAGCATGGCTCAGCTTGGAAACCTCTCCCTTTCCCTTCAGCATGGCTGGCTCAGGAATTCTGGGAGTTGAAGTCCACGAGTCATAAAAGAGTCAAGTTTGCCTACCCCTGGTATAGGGTACAGGAGTTTGGAATAGAAGACCTCCAAGATCCCTTCCAACTCTTTTATTTTATGTTCTATGTCTTCCTCCTCCTCCTCCTCCTCCTCCTTGCCTTCAAAGGCTGTGGGTGCTCCAACAAAAAGAGACTGGACAGCCACATGTCTGAAATAGTATAGGGTCTCCTGCTCAAGCAGGGGGTTGGACTAGAACAGGGGTCCCCAACCCCCAAGCCACAACCCACTACCAGGCAGTGAGCTGTTCAGAACCAGGTTACATGAAGGGCAAGTGAGCACATGCGCATGAATCAGTATTTGCACGAGCATCAGGTGAGTGCACAGACATGCACTATGTGCAAGCAGTGGGCATGCATACCCACTGCTTGCACAAATGGAGCTCTGCGCACGCATGTGTGCACTTGTCCACCACTGGTGCAGAACCATCCCCTCTCCCCCCCCCCGCCAGTCCACAAAGCTGGAAAAGTTGGGGAACTCTGAACTAGAAGTCCTCCAAGGTTCCTTCCAAGTCTGTTATTCTATGTTCTAAAACATACACTTCATTTTTTGGGGGGAAGGGAAGGGAATTAATTCAGAGCCTAGCCCAGGGGTAGGCAACCTTGACTCTTTTATGACTTGTGGACTTCAACTCCCAGAATTCCTAAGCCAGCCATGCTGAGGGGAAAGGGAGAGGTTTCCATGCTGAGCCAGGCTGGCTCAGGAATTCTGGGAGTTGAAGTCCACGAGTCATAAAAGAGCCAGGGTTGCCTACCCATGGCCTAGGCAGACATATCCTTTAATTTCCACTCATCTCGGTATTGTTGTGATTCCTTGCCAGCCTGTGTTCACAACAGCTGAGTCTGAGGAATCTGAGGAGGAGGTGGAGGAGGCATTTGAAGGGCCATCAGGGGCAGAGTGAGGTTCTGGTGAATTACAGGACTCACAGTTTGATGCAGAGCCTGGACCCTCCAGTCGTGTTCCTCATGAAGCTCAGCTGTGTGAGGAGAATGAGTCAGACCCGGAAGACCCACACCTCATGGACTTGCTAATTGACACCCGCACACATCGTCAATTAGCGAGAGTAAATCAACAGCAGTCAATGTGGCACCTCCAGAGTGAAAAGAGAATGAGAGGCAATGCCTTGGGACTGCTGAATAAAGGGAGGAGGTGTGGGCGGTGCTGGTTGCTGAAGGCAACCGTTTGCAAAGTGCTTTTTGGAATCCTGGTCTGTTCCTCTTGCTTGTGACTTCTCGTCTGTTTGCATCGTGTTTCCTTTGGACTTGAATTTTGCTGTTTGTGTTTTGGACTATTTGACAGGTTTGTCAACCATATTAGAAGAGTTTTGTTTTGTTGTAAAGTCTCCAGCCTATTGCATCAGCAGGGGTTTGGTCCTTGTGCCTTTAACAAGGATGGCAATAGGCTGGGATAGAAGAGGTATGTGGCATGTTTCGGCTAGTCAGCAATGAGTAAAATCCCAACTATCCATGCTCACTCATGGAAAGTCCAGTCATGTTCAGAATATCTTACTGCATAAGGGCCAAAAATAGAAGTGACCAAGAAAAGAAACTTGTTTTGTTTAATTTTCCCTCTCCTCAAATTCATCATTGTTCTCCATATAGTTCCATTTTCCTTCCCCTCTGCCCCATCTTTCAATCTGATATACATTAAGACTTTACTAGTTTTTGTTCAATTAGTCTAAGCCTAAAAAAAATGCTCCACAATGTACAATGACTAAACAGGCATTTTGTGTGGTAGAGAACTGGGTTATACAGAACTGCTTTGCAATTTCCATCTGCTTTTACTTAATGGCCTTCCAATCATGTCAACAGTCCTCTGCTAACTTGGTTCTGTCTTGCTCAGATTCCAAACTCAGATGAGGACAGCCAGCTCCTGTGGCCTACTGTAACTAAACTTGCTGCATTTCCAAGAAATCAACCTCAATGGATTAGAACAGACAGAACTGAAATGTAATCAGTATTAAGCTAGTCTCGTTGAATTTGGGTGGATTTAAATCATAACCAATTTAAACCTCCTGATTCGCAATATCTAATATACTTGTAAGTATTATTAGTTTGGATCTAGCTCAAAATCAATAAGTAAGAATGAGATGTTAAATCCCAAAGCTTTCAAGTCTGAAGTAGGAGTTGATTAAAGTGGGAATGAGAAAAATGCATTAAGGTGAGACAATTTATTGGACATAATATAAAAATAATGTTGTTGAGTACTTGCAGATGTTAATAAATTTGCTTCAATTTTTGTCTGTCTCTGAGTAATTTAATTTAATCTGGTCACCAAAGCATAAACTGAGTTTATAATCAGAGTGATAAATATTTCAGATGCTTGCCTCTTTATTTAAAACTAATCGAGTAGGGTAATTTTAGGATAAATTGGCCATAGGGAGAAAAAAGTAAAGCTCCAAGATTTAAAACTATTATGATATTCTAGGCCTTAAAGGCCAATTGCTCACTGAGATAACACTTGACATTGATGCTGCAACATCCGTCATATTAATTTTAATATTTCAGTTTAGAACAACATCCAACCTCAGAGAAGACAGTAGAAGACATTCTATTTATAAGCATCTGAGAAAAAAAACAAATATTTTTTCATATAACAGAGGGGGGGGGGAAAGTAAAGGTAACCTACTCTCACTTCATAAAAGTCCAAAAGTTGCTTTTTTGAAAGGCAACTGGACTTTATTTTTCCTTAAAGCTTCCTCAGTTCTGATTGAATAGTGGAGGAAGGAAGGATTTTCAGCCAGCTGGTCATTTGCATCCTTTCAAAGAGTTTTTGAGGCCATTTGGAGATTTATCTGTGCCTTCAGGGTCACCTCAATAATGCAAATGGGTGTGGAACCTTCATGGAACTGCTCAAAGGACTGTGTGATAAAGAGGAGACTGCACTATTCAGGTGATCCTAAGGACACCGATAAACCTCCAAGTGGCCTCAACAATTCCCCAAAAGAGTGCTAATGACCAGATGACTGCAAGGAATATA